TCATCAATTCTTCTACAGTCTTCCTTATTTACTGTCCAGCTTTCACATGCATGAGGTTATTGAAAATACCATGGCTTGGGTCAGGTGCACCTTAGTCTTCAAGCTGAAATCTTTGCTCTTCAACACTTTAAAACACATTAGGACTTGTTGCTGTTGTTGTTGTTAGGTGCCACTGAGTTGGTACTAACCCATAGCGACCTTATGCACAGCAGAACAAAACACTGCCCGATCCTGGGCCAACCTCACTACTGTTGCCACTCTTTAGTCCATCGCTACTGCCACTTGGCCAATACATTGCTTTAGGGGTCTTCCTCTTTTTCTCTGACCCTCCACCTTTCCAAACATGATATCCTTCTCCAGTGACTGGTCCCTCGTGATAATATGTCCGAACTATGAGAGACGAAGTTTGGCCATCTTGGCCTCCAAGAAGCACTCTGGCTACACTTCTTCCAAAACGGATCTATTGGTTCTTTTGGCAGCCCATGGCACTTCCAATCATCTCCTCCAACACCATAATTCAAAAGCATAAATTCTTCTATGATCTTCCTTATTCATTGTCCAGCTTCGCATGCATATGAGGTTATTGAAAATACCATGGGTTGGGTCAGGCACACCTTAGACCTCAAGCTGATATCTTTGCTCTTCAACACTTTCAAAGGTCTTGTGCAGCAGATTTGCCCAATGCAATACGTCATTTGATTTCTTGACTGCTGCTTCCATGAGTGTTGATTGTTGATCCAAGTAGAATGAAGTCCTTGAAAACTTCAATATTTTCTCCATTGATAAGAATGTTGTTTATTGGTCCAGTGGTGAGGACCAAAACATTTTTGTTTTTTTATACTTGGATCTTCATCAGTAATTATGTTAAGTCCTCTTCACTTTCAGCAAGCAAGGTTGTATCATCTGCATATCGCAGGTTGTTAATTAGTCTTCCTCCAATCCTGATCTTTCTTCATAAAAGTCTTCCTCCAATCTTTCTTCATAAAATCTTCCTCCAATCTTTCTTTATAAAGTCCAGCTTCTTGAATTGTTTGCTCAGCATACAGGTTGAATAAGTATGGTGAAAGAATACAATCTTGTCGCACACCTTTCTTAATTTTAAAACATTCAGTGTTCCCATGTTCTGTTCAAACAACTGCTTCTTGGTCCAGGTACAGATTCCTCATGAGCACAAT